CAGGATGCAAGAAGGATGTTAAAAACTGACATCAGTTCTCTTATAATCAAACAAATCGTTTTTATGTTTAGACTAATAGAAATATAAAATTTTAGAGGCAAAAATACACCTGAGATTTCAGAAGTCCAAATTTGCAATTCAAAACTGAAAAGATGCCTAGTGAAGGTAAGTGACTTTAAGTTCATAGAATTATTAGTGACTGATCTCTTGAGCTAACATTTCTTGATTCTCAGGCAAGTTTCTTTCTGTTTGCCCACGTGACTCTCCCTTTTCTAGAAGCACTACACACGCAGGTTTCCCACAGAGAACAGATGACATTCTCAAGTTACAAAGTTGAGGGAAGATTTAAAATAGGGGCTATTTGCCAATTTATGAGTGGGATGTTGGGGACCATGGGGGATTTTGAGGTGCTCAGGGATATTAATCACAGACCTGTTACCAATACTAAAACCAAAAAAAGGAGTCTTGTAGATGGGGCTGTGTCGACAGGAGTAGTTAATTTTAACAGAAAACACAGCCAGCTCACAGTCTTCAAAGTGGAAGCCCAAAGCCCTGACCACATTCTGCTTCCCTCTTATCATCTGTCAGGATTCCCCTTTGGCTGAATCCAAGCGGAAGTCAGGCAAAGGAACCTGTTGCTGTAATCCATGCTAATCAGTTCCCTGGGCAAAACATGGTAGAGAGGGGTGAAGGGCAAACATGGAGGGACAGATTTCCAGCACCATTGCTTGTGCTGAGGTCTCCAACAGAAACGCTCGCCTACTTACTCAAATATCTTGGGGAACTTCTGGCTCTGGATTGTCTGGCATCCTGATTATCTGCACTCCTTTGGGCTTCTAGTTAGCATGCTGCTGTTTGTGTCTTCCTCTCTCATTGCCCATGTTTTCAGGGTGTTATCCTCTCCCATAGGATACTGGTTTCTTGCCTCTGAAGTACCTCCCATTAGCTCCTTGCAGGTAGTGGGTAGGTAACCACTTGGTAAACTGTTCCGGTGTTTCCATGTGACTCTCCCATCCCAGTAGCTTTGCCACAGTTCTTTTAGGATACAAAATAATACCTCATATCCTTTGTTTGTTTAGCAAAGGAAACTTGTATAGTGTCATACTGTATCACACTCTGAGCTCCCCCAAACAGAGCACAAGACACTCGATATTCTTAAGCAAGCCCAGACTCCTGCAATGTGATGTTCATCCTAAGTTCCTGAAAGTGTCCAAGAAGATACCTTCATCATTGGTGCTTCCTGACACAAAGGGACACATGTGCAAAAGGAGCCCGAGGACATCACTACATATCTCCTAGTATTCTGTGACAAAGATCAGTCACTCCAATGGAAATGTGCAGTTTATGCTCTGATAATACTTCTAGTTTGGGTTATGCCAACAGCATATAATTAGATGTAAATCTCCAAATTAAAATACTTCTACAAAGAGGTATTAGTACTTTCTATGGGTAAGCCGGCTTGATTTACACCTTCTGCTTAAAGAAGTAATTCCCAGCTGGCTGATGTCCTTAAGCTCAGTGTTTGCTTCCATTTCCACAGTTGTGTTTGCTTTCTTTTCCCACACATGTGTTAATCTTAGGACCCAGCCATTGGCAGTTCTATTGACTTATCAGCATCAGAGTCTAACTGGAAACTTACTATTAGTTTCCCCATGGGCTTGCCAACCTAAACGCATGACCTTTTGCTTACCGTAATGTCATTTAGAAAAGATCAAATTGCTTGGTTTTAAAAGCTGCATGTAAAACAATATTAAATAGATTAGAGTTCCATTAAGGCTATCAACATTATTTTTTAGCTCAGATGAGCTCTGTGGTAGGTGATTGCCCTTATTTTATATATGCATAGGTAATATTGATAATATATATTTAATTATATATTAAAACAGAAGTATGTATGATATTTGCATATATTCAATAAATATAGTTTAATGAATATGTTTTCTCACCTTTCTTTGCTTGCATTTCAACAGAGTACATTATAATCATTTTTTCTTCTGTCATTCTAAATATGGCAGGACAGGGCTAAAAGATAAATAATAAAAAGGTGCATTTTTATCTATTCATAACATCAATTCGTAGACCTTCATTGGCTTTTTTCCTCTAAGGTGTAATTCACATGAAACTGCCACTTGAGGATTTTGATGTAATTCCCTTTTTCCATATTCACACTTGTGAGGTGATAGTTCTATATGCCTTTCTAATAAGAGATGCTCCATGCCCACCTCCAACCTTGTCAACTTTATTTTGTAAAATTATATATCTCCGTATAGAATAGAATTTAGAATTTCTGCTTTTTCCTATCTTAGTATTTGTCCCATAGTCTAAACGAGATTTTGGGATCTGCCTGAAAGTTGTTATTCCTCTTGCTTTTGGTTTCTTCTCTGGGAGGTGTTTGGAGGATTGAAATTTTCCACCATGAAGTCATACACCTTTAGCATGACCTTGATTTTTTTTTTCCCTCTACACTAATGAGACCCTGGGTAGCTCTTATTTAAGGAAACTGCCTTTGTCTCCTTGGTCAAATTAAATTGATCATAGCTAACTATGGGTAACCTATGGTTTTATTTGTTTACATTTTTGAGTACATTGCAAAAGCCTTGAGAAAAATTCTTAGTTTTATTTTGGGTGTCACGATTATGCTTACACTATTCTTTCCAGTCACCTGCTGGAGGTGATGACCTTGTATTTGTTTTAGCAATGAAACTGGATATAACATGATCACTTTCTCTGTAATAGTTATGGCAAGACAAAAATGGCAGTTTAAAAGTCAAATACTATGGGATCTAGTAAACACTACCTATAGAGTCCTCCTCTAACTCTGACCTTGACCTAACTTAGTACCAAATACTGATAAAAAATGGCTCCCCTGATAATTGCTGTGTTTGTGTTTTTTCCCAGATAATAATATATTACAGAAACATTACATTAACATAATAGACAGAAAAGTAAATTATTAGTGGCAATTTGTTTAATGCTAAATTATTAATAGCCACTTAATACCTCAGGCCATCCATAAAAATAGTCAATCCGCTAATATTTAATGGCTACACACTCTGTGCCTGACCCTGAACTAAGAAAAAACCACATCTGAATGTTTTCATTACCTTCTGCGTCTTGAGTCCTACACAGTATCAAACTAGTTCAAGGTCGTGGGCAAAGCACATTCAAACTTTAGCGTATTTAAATGTGTTCTCTGTTATTTGGTGCATATGTGGGGAATGATTCTGGGAAGCCCAGGAAATTCTAAGATTTGGCAAAACGAAATGTTTGTAGTGCCTTTATCTTTTTTTAATTTGTTGGGAGTAGTGGGTAGTAGTAAGAGAAAGGGTAAAATTCAATGTCCCTATTCACCAAAGATTCATGGTTTATTCTTATATGGAGAAACCTCTGCCCCTTTTATTCTCTACCCTAAAGAGAAAATTGGAGCAAATTGAGAAGAATCATATCTGATTAACTATATTTTGGAAAGCAGAAATAGTGTTATTTGTGTTTTGTTTTTAATATGCACAAGAATCATTGGAAGCTAAATAACAATACCATATAAATAATACTGCATATTTATATATGTGCTGCCCATGCTTATCTCATGAGGGCTATAAGAACTGATTCCACTAGGCTAGTCACATTTCCACGTTTGAATAATGGACCACATTTTTGCCTCCAATGTCAGTCAACGTTAGATTTGTCTTCCTCATCTAAGAGAACCAAAAACAGCTTCTGTTAGGTTGTTTGTTAATGTATATTCGATATACCTTCATCTTTGTTTCCTGGAGAAAATATGTAAAGGGTGATATTTGCATTATTAAAGTGGTGTTTCAAATTTAACTCTTGGCACTTTGAGCCTAGAAAAGTGTAAGTGTATCATTGTGAAAGAATATTTTCCTTCCTCCTAGGAGACAATGAGCAAGGAAGGAAATATATGAATGTACATCTGAAAATTAGCCAGGACTGCCAAACCCCTGATAAGGCACTCATGAAAGAAAGCATACCTAATACATTTGAAATATTTCGTACTACTTTAATTTTTATATTAGTATTTAAGTATATTCTGAGTTGTTTATGCCATCTGCCATACAGATATCAATTGGGGGAATAGTTGATCAAACTACTAAGGGCATCTGTTTGATTTCATTAAATTTAAAGTTCGCATTTCAATTGCAGTGGAAATATCCTGAATCTTAATGAGAGATCCTGGTTTCCTTTGTGGTTCAGGTGAAGGCATCTGGCTTTTCAACTTCCAATGCAATTCAAGGTAGCTATGGTAACATTATAGAACAAAATAATACTCGAATACTATTATTAAGTCAGTTAAATGATGTCAATCACAGCTGGATGTTTGTGATACAAAGATGTTCAGGATATGGTCGCTGCTCTCAGGGAGCTTTGATTATACTGGTGAAGGCAAACAAATAAACAGATGGTACAATGCAATCACATGATAAATGTAAGCACAGGTGCTGGGGCTATAGAGATGAGAATCTGGACCAGGCTGAGAGGGCTGACTTGGAGGGATGAAGGTAGATGTTTGAGAATGTTACAAAATGATCTGCAGTTTGAAAGACTAGCAGAAGTGGCCAGGGAAAGAGGAAGGGGCCGGGGAATCAGGGAAAACCACCTATGTAGAGGCATGGAAGGGAGTGAATTGGCTTGTTGGGGAACTGCAAGTAGTTCAAGGTGGCAAGAGCACAGTCTGGTTTTGGAAAAGGGGTTGGGAAAGTTAAGGAGTGTTGCTGAAGAGAGAGGCAGAAGCTACAGCGTGGCCAGCTTGTTGTGATTCCCTTGGTAGATTTGAGTTACTCATGAGGCTGCGAGGAAACTTTAAGCATGGAGGTGGCTAGATTAGACTTGCTGGCTGCTCCAAAGAATGGCCTGGAAGAGTGTTAAAGAGGAGATAGTAAAGATGGTAAATTGTAATTTGTGCTATAATTTGTAGTAATCCAGACAAGAAAATTGCAAGAAAAGTAAAGCGTTTTTCTTTAGGATGAAGAAAATGAGCTCTAGTGCTCGCTTTGGCAGCACATATACTGAAATTGGAACCATATAGAGAATATTAGCATGGCCCCTGAACGAGGATGACACACAAATTCATGAAGTGCTCCATGTTTTTGTAACTATGTGAAGTGAGGGATGTTAACTAAACTTATTGTGTTAATCATTTTGCAACATATAAGTATATCAAATCATTATGTTGTACACTTTAATACAATATTATATGTCAGTTATATCTTAATAAAACTGAAAAGAAAGAAAAAAGAGCTCTATTTTCCTATTTAAGAGACAAGTAAAGTAAACAATAAAAACAGGCCTTTTGCAGCTTCAGAAATGAAAGAGCAGAGAATCAAAGTCCCAAGGCTGGTGGAAGAACAGAAGGGTCAGTTTAATATCAACCACCACTTATAAGATGATAGTTTCTAATATCTTACAGGATGATAGTATCTAGTTATGATATAGTGTTGATCACAGAAGAGTAATTTGGTTTTAAAAAGCGTTGGAAGGGAAACAAATGACCTCAGAGTTATTAAGGGTCACAATCAAGGAAGAAGTGCACCAAAGACAGGCATGATTATTAAGGTTGCCGAATTATTTCCCATATTATAAGTACATGACAATAGAAGTATCCAAAAGCAGGGGTTAATATGGCCTTGAACCAAGTGACACTATTACATGTCCTGGAGAAAGTACCAGGAGGGGAATGGGAGCCTGGAAGCAATAAAGATGAGGGACAAAAGAAAGATTCTTTTAAATTGTTGTTTGTGTTTTTGGTTGGTAGTTTTATGATAAATATGTGCTTTCAAGCCTGTTAGCCTGAGAACCATTTGGGTGGTAGAGTGGCAAGGGTTACTGCCTAACTACTCTTCTGCCTGGATGAATTGGGTCCAACCAGAGGAAAGAAGGGAAGTTCAAGATGGAGTCAATCAAGTGATATTAAACTGAGATGGGGATTCAGGGACAATAGGTTTCATAGTGGTAGGCTCAGTTTAGATGAGTTCTGTTTGGACACACAGATTTGGGAAGAGTGTGTAAAGCCAAGTAGAGGACGTCCAGGTAAATAGGACTAGAGGTCAGGAAAGTGATCTCTCTTATTTCAATGAATCATATTCAACTCTGTTCACCTAAGTAATTGAGAGTAAACTAGATCTGTTTTGGGTTTCTTGCTTATTTTATGTGACGGAACAGCATGGAGGAGGGAGACAAGATTAACAAATAACTAAGTTCTTGACTGGAGAGAGACCTGTCATAGTTCACTCAGTGGTGAATACATATATATATATATAAAGAACATCTCCAGCGTAGTCAAGTGAATGACACAGAGCCCCTGTGATACCTTCAGATTTATATTTTGATTGGATAACAGAGGTCAATTGTTCATGAAGGTTTGTTTTCTGGAACTTCTTTCCCTTACAAGTGGTCCACTTTATTAACATCCAGAGTACACTACAAGGCTCAGTTGTTCTTCCTAAACTTTGGGGACAACTTGTTAGGCTTTCAGATGTGTGAATTCTGCTATTAGTTTAGCTTTAATTCCTTGTATTGTATGTTCATAGGGATATTTTTGATCATTTAGCTTCCTGAAAGAGATGATTTACCATGAATCTATTTTATGAAAATTTAATCCAAGGGAAGATTATTGCCTTTGAAAAAGACTTAGTTCAATATCAAATTTGTCTTTAGAAGTTTCTTGGTGCATTCTGAAATAAAATATTTTTCCCATATGGCTAATGTTATAAAGATCACTACTTTAACCCAATTTTCCTTCCCCTTCTTATTTCTGTGATTATATTACCATTCTAAATACTAAATATTCCTCTTCTTTTTTTTCTACCTCTGAAATTTCACTATCTAAACTTTGCCAAAATGTGTAGCCATTTTACATACACAGTTTGCTCCTAAACTGTGGGGAAAATACGTAACCAGAATTATGAAATTCTTCAAATTGGCACGTATACTTGGTATCCTCAGGCAGCCATCTCATTGTCAATGTGCAGTGCTGACTACTACTACTAATAACAGTAATGTTATCATTTATACTTTCATGGCATCAATTGGTTTACAAAAAATGTCAATACGGTTTACCTTTTCTGGTAGAGCTGCCCTATATCTCAACATTGTTGATGTCAGGTAAATTTATAGAAATAACTAAAGTTGAAAAATTTTAAGTTTTCCTTCCTGACTTCTTTAATACTCTTCTTGCTCCGTTGCTCAATTCCACCTTCATAAATAATCAGTGATCTGGGATTTACTCTCTTGTGTGTTAAACTCATTCTCTAAGTTTCTGTAAGTCCTTGTATTCCTCATATGGAAATATATCTCTCTGATTTTTCAGCCTTTGCCAACCTTCTAGGGTGACTCCCCTCTAACCCAGCATGCCACCTCATATAATAAAATAGAGGATAGAAAGAATCCTTTGAACCATTCCATTTTAACCACATAATGTATTTCCAGTGATAACCAGAGGTAAGGCATGGACATACCGAAGCAACATCAATCTGCCAGCACCCCGTCTTACATACCTGATACGCATTGACTCCAATCCTATCGCCTTTCACTTAGAAAGTCCTATCTCTGACATTTGCTTTCAATTTTATGGCATTCATAACTTGTCTTTCCCTAAAGAATTCATCTTGGTCTGCTCCTCATGCTGTCTCCACCTTGTGGTAGCCCATGCCTATCCAGTTCCCGAGCCTAGGGAGTCAACTCTGAGTCCTGTTGCAGAATCCAAAATACTTGCAGGCCATGGAGGGAGGATATTTGGGTACTGTCTTATAGGTAATGTATAAGCGTTTAAATCATGACTCCAGAGGCAATGTCATTGACTGTACTTTCTTACCTAAAACAGAGAGATTCAAAGTAATTTCTAGTCTCTTAGAAGATGATATGGGAGAGATTTTTGAGTAGGCCTTTCTTTGTCTCGATTCTGTGATTGGAGAATTAGGTACTCTCCTCCCAAACCTCGTCTTCAGTGTGATCGAAGTTGCCTCACTGAGGTTTACTGCTGTTTCAGTCTCCACTGTCCAGAGAACAAGGTGTCACAGTGTTACCAGGACAGCACACTGGTGGTACACTAAGGGAGGCCTTTTCTAGGAAAGCCTGGGGTGGACATACACGTACACCCATGCTCGAATACACACAGATGATTTTGTTAACCTATGCCACTAATGTCTGAGGAAGTGAAGTGAAGATGAAAGACTGTCCTCATTGGAGCAGGTTATTCATTTTTAAACCAGCATGAGAAAATCTGGCATGAGTCATGGAAGTGATGCACAGGAGAAATCATTAAGCTTTAACTGTTTTCTTCTTTTTCCTGAACAACCTCTGTTGACTGAGAAATGCAATATTAATTGGTAAGGCATTCTCTAGCTTTGCCAGTAAGCCCAAGTTTCGCTTCCTCCTACGTCAGAGGAAGATAAGAAAAACATACATATGACCTGTCTGGATGTGTTCCTTAAAGTCAGTCTCTCAGTTTATGGCAAATTTGGTATTTTGCCTGATTAAGATGTTATAGATCATTCTTCTGCAAGAATTATACTAGGCAGTGTGCTTCTCTCAAGAAACATTGATTATCTTGCCTCAAGCCTGAAGTGGTCAGAATTGTGGGAGGTTTTGCCATTAGGTAATATTAGAATTGGAAATAAATAAAAATTCTACCAGAGGATTTAGGGACACTCCATTTCTGGTAGCATTTGCCTCTTTTATTATATTTGCTATCATGCAGAAATTGAGTAAAAACTGCTTCTTTCCTAAAAGTAAAATAACCTTAGTTTTCTCCTTCGTGCCATAAGAAAATAGCTAGAATATACTCATAAGCATGATTTCAAATAGAATCCACTAAAGTTCAATGGGAAACTTCTTCACAGTAATATTTTCTTTGGAAAGTAATGCTGTGGTTGAATATGGGACAATTGCCCGTGTATTTTTGTTCTGATTTTAGAGAATTGCAAGGAGCTCATCAGAAATGAGAATTATGACTGAATTACCGTTTTCCTAGTCTTCTTGTAAGCTGGTAGAATCAAAAGGCAGAAGAAAGAAACAAGAGAAAATAAAACAGATTGTTTCAAATTCTTTTCTTTTTTTTATAGTTTGTTTGCTTATAGATTTTCAAGTCAGTCTATATCTGAATTCAAGGATATGGCTGAAAGAAGATAGTCTGAACCTTGAAAAGAAATCTCTCTTCCTCTCTCTCTCTTTCTCTTATACAGAGACACACACACACACACACACTCACACTCAAATGTAATGTGAGTGGAGAATTGATTTATCAGAGAGCTGAGACTGTACTGATTTATCCTTTCTAAGTGCTAGTAAAAAGTGTATTTGATTTGATTCTATTGATCAAGAAGACATGTTTTACCTCTCTTAAGTGTTATCTAGTATTTGAATTTTCTGTGAAGTTATATGTGAGATCAAGGAGTCCACAGGTTATAAAATTTACATTTGTATAAGACTTGTGTGGATTTAGAAGTCAAAGCAGAATATTCTCTCAGAGCTGGAACTCTGACACAAAAGCCTTACATGCTAAGATTACACTGAATACACATCATAGGATATGAGCTTTAAGTTGGGAGTTAGGCTTCTAAAAATAACTAAGTGCTCAATTCTTTCTGCTTTTTAAACAACCTGACACAGCACAGGATTTCCTAGACTTATCTTGTTAGATTGCATAATCAATACAACACCAAGTTCTAGCATGACTTGTAACTGAAGGCTTTATTTTGTTGGTCTGCAATTTAAGGTCATGCCTTTAGAATTAAGTAACGTACTGTTGCTGATTTGTGTAGTTATTACTTCACTGTAAATAAGAAAAATTTTAAAAGTATTTTTCTAAGGTAACACAATAATTTTAACTGGTGTCATTTATCTTTTAAATTTGTGATTGAAATCCTTTAGCATATGGAAATGGTTTTCTATGTAATTTAATTAGCCACTGATCTAATAAGAGTATATTTGCCTGAAATATCTCAATGGCAGTGTTGGGCAATATGGATTATAGTAGATACCCGCATCATTTTACCCAGATATATTGTAATAATAATTTCACTTGCACTATCACTTTCATAATGGAGATGGTTTAACCAGTTCATGTTGATTTTTCCTCTTAAATAAGTCATA